AACCCACCATTTTCAGACTAATCCCTCTCTTCCCTGGAACCCACCATTTTCAGACTAATCCCTCTCTTCCCTGGAACCCATTTTCAGACTAATCCCTCTCTTCCCTGGAACACAGACAATCCGCAACCAATCCCTCTCTTCCCCTTTTTTTCCAAAAAAAAATTAAAAAAAATGCTCCATTCTATTGCCCGAGAGCTACCCCTGTTGGAACGAAAACCCTCTCTTCCAAACGAACCCCATTTTAGAACCACTTCCTGTTCCTGGAACACCGCCAGAACCAAAATCCCTTCGCTCCTGGAACCCATTCTAGGGCCAAATTGCCAATCCCTCTTTCTGAACACAGTCTGACACCCAGTCCCGGTTCCTGCAATCCGTTCTCTACTACCAAACTCTGCTCCTGGAACACAGTCTGGAATCATTCATGTTTCGGGAACACATTCTACGACCAATCCCTTTTTTCCTTCTCCATTTGCTCTTTTTTTTTTTTTTTTTTAATGTGGCCCGATGTACCACGGATCAGATATTAAACTGATCAGAACAGATACAGTGCACTTTGTCTTACTTAGCCAAAAGGCCGAGAAAGGTATTCTTGCTCTTGCTCCTTCCTGGCTTTCGCTGGCCTTTTTTTGGCACGTTTCCATTATACCTACTCTCAGCTCACTATCGAAAGATTCTGAACACCACTGGCACTCCCATCCATCACTCATCCCAAACTACTGCTACTATTTAACCACTGACGTCATCGTCATCTCTATTCACTACAAGGCTTCCAGACAACAACCCTTTTCACTTTGATGTCTGGCCCCCTGGGAATGTATAGACCTCCCTCATCTCTCTATCGCGATCCCTCCCTCTCGGCACATCCATGAGACTTAACTTTCTTTTTTGACTTTTTTTTTCTTCTTTTCTTCCTTTTCTCCTCCTCTTTTAATTTCCGTTTTTCGTTTTCTTTTCTTCTTTTCTTTTTTCTTTTTTCCTTTTTTTTTCACTGACTCGCTCGCTACTAATCGTCCTGCTTGGGCTGGCGCACAATCCGGTTCCCGCCTCTACTGCACTTTCTGGACCTGGACCTGGACCTGGACCTAGTAAGTCTTTTTTTTCTTCCAACTCGTTTTTTTGCATCTTCGCAAGGGAAAAAAAAAAAAAAAAAAAAAAACGGCAACCTGTGTCCACTGCGACGTCGAACTTTTATTTCTTATCGTCGATATTTTTTCTCTATTATTTCGACCTTTATTTTTATTTATTCCCCGACCTTTATTTTTCTGTTTTTTTTTCGATATCCGTTTTGTTCATTCCCCCTACCTTTCCCCTTCCCGATCTGTTATTTCGATTAATTCCACACCAACAGCGGCGCAGGCAACGTTGTACAG